TCTTTGTCAGTTTAACAGTTTCTGTTTTGCCTGTCACTGTTCCCTGTCTGTTTTCTTACCTGGTTTTTCCTGATCTTGCCCTTTCTCCTCACGTTCCCCTCTTTCCTCTCTCCCTCTTTGGACTGACAATCATACACAAATAGAATCAATTAGATGAAAAATTACATTAATATGAAAAAAAAAATACTATTAAGATCACTAACAAAAAGTCCTCTCTCAGTCTACTTTCAACCAAAAGGCAAATAACCAAACCACATGAACATCTAATAAAAGATATAAACATTGAAACACTGATTTTACACTTTTACCTGAATGTGGCTCCTTTTTTTGAAAAAACTTCCTTATATCCATTATGAACCTGGCTGTCTCTCTGTACACAAACACACACACACACAACAGGAGTTATAAGGTTAATGGGCTGAAGCACCCCCAAAAATGGGCTAAAGTCGCCCCTGCTTGCATCTAAATCACATAAGGTTGGCCTGTGGGTGAGATGAGGAGGTGTTGGCTCGCCCTGAGTTTAAACATTCAGTGATGGCCAAATATGGAAATATGGAAAACTGATGTAGACCATTTCACTGTCTACATAATTTATACATGCCATGCAATAGCTTTGAGTTGTTGTATAGATGTATAATATCTTAAATGACGGTATTTGTTAATGTTTCTTTGAGTAGTGAAATTGTCAGATTCCATTCACAAGTGTCAGTGTTTGGGCAACAAATTGAGAGAATTGAGTCAAATATAAGATGACCTAAGGGTAACGGTTATTGAGAGAACCCAAAAGCAGCAAACAGATTCCAGAGAATGAATCAGATAGATTGAATGCTTTATTACTAACAATAAGAATTGGGCTTGGTGTCCAGGGGGGTTTGGGGAAAGGGAAAACTCTGTTGTTAAGCAGAGACTAACTAACAGTTAGTAATTATTTCCTGAACATTCGTGAAAAGAAAAAAAACCACATTGGTCCCAGCCATGATTGCAGCATTGTTAGTAAGAAAGAGCTGAGGCCTGTGCTACAGAATTTTGTCTTATTCAGGTAACTTCAGGGTGAACCTTGGTGGAAGGTGGTTTACTTATTACCAGGGTACATGACCATGGTAACTCATGCTGCAAATGTGATCCAGATTAGAGATCAACTCTACTTACTGACAAACCAGTTCTCTGAAAAATAGAATCACAAACCTTGAAGGTCCCTCAGACCGCTCTCTAATGACAGTCTGAGAGATTTTCCAGTAGTG